TATATATTTCTATATATATATAGTTATTATTAATAATTAATTAGCATTGCACTTAATAATGACTTAGACGACTTCGAAGATTATTCGAGAATTGCTACAGTGCCCCCGGCGCCCGCTTCGATCTTTGGTACGAAACAAAAAAAAAATACATAAAATAAACAAAAAAATTTACAAAAAAAAAAAACTATTATACATAACACTTTCAATGATTTCTCGTCTCATTGAAAAAAAAAAAAATTTCCTTCATCCAACTTTTGAAACCGGAAGACAGTCGATTGTGGCGAATTCGCGTTAAGAGTATTCCTTACAGGTACCGGAATCCCATATAGTTTGTGTTTTTTTGTTTGTTTTGTTTTGCATGTATGTACAAACAACAAATAATAATTAATCTTTTTTTAAAAAAAAACATAAAAATAATAATAATCAACATAAGATACAAACAAAAAATGATAAACGTAAATTAAATTTAAAATGTAAATTTACAAAGGCTTAAGCGCATTTTGCCAGTTTGTTTGTACCAGTCGATTTGGGCGAGAGAAGAAAGAGTGTTTCAAATTCAGCGGGAATATCAAAAATCAACAGGTGTGTGTGTATGATGTGTGTGTGCGTCTTCGGATAAATGAATTAATGATTCGGGCCCAAAACAGTTAATGTTTTTATAATTATTATTTTATACTTTTTGTTGTTGTTGTTGTTCTTCAGGCGATTATGTACAAGAAGTATCCCTAACTACGGCTCAAATATTCTTTATAATTAATGTTATTAGTATTAAATGGCAAGATTTTTTTTTCTGTATGTATATATATATATAAACTTATAGTTCTTAGGTGATGATGATCATCATCACCGGGTCGGTTTTTTTATGTGTGTGTGTGTGTGCAATTTTCTTACTCTCTGTATGGTTTACAATACGAATATCGATGGTTCATGTGCTGGCTGTAGGAGCCAGAGTGGGAGAACTTCTTCAGGCACTTGGAGCACTGGAAAGGTTTCTCGCCCGTGTGCAGACGCTTGTGCTCGGTGAGGTGGTGCTTGTGTTTGAAGGCCTTCGGACACTCGTCGCACTTGTGAGGACGCTGACCTGATCATTGGGAGAAAGATATGAAAATTAGCATCGTGAAATCTTATTAGATTTAATCTTTTTGTTATTATTGTTATTATTACCTGAGTGCTCGTATTTGTGTCGGGCCAGTGAACTCTGCTTGGAGAAAGCCTTTTCGCATTGGTCGCACGTGAACTGTCCCTCGATCTCGACCTCCTGGTTGCCGAGCATCGGACTTCCCAGTCCCTTCGCGGCGAGTTTTCCACGTTTCGACTGCTGCAGATCTTCGTCGCAGTCCATGTCACCGTAGGATGATACTGCGGCCGCCGCGTCCGACCAGGAGCGTTTATCAGAGTTGGGACTGATGCTGGAGATGCGGCTGTTGATGAGGTGCTGCGTAAAGTTGGACATGTCGTGCGGACCGTACTGCATGATCCTCTCGATGGGCATGAAGGGCAGAGCGAGCTTGTGCGACGGCTGTCCGAGGATGTGCGCCAGTCGGCTACTACTGCTGCTGCTGTTGTTATTCTGATGGAGATGGTAGTCGACGGGGGATGGGGAACGGCGCGGCTCCGAAGAGCAATTCGACGCTTGGTAATGACTTTGGTACGGGGGGATCTGATGGTGCTGCTGGAAGGGTGTCGGGCTTCTCGAGGATTTGTGACTGAGATTGACGACCTCCTCGCCCGAGTCGGAATGATGGTGTATGGAGGAGGGTCGCTGCGGCGAGCTCGCCGGCGACGACTCCCTCGACGGTTGTTCCTTCTTGGTGGAGAGATCCAGCGGTTGCTCGATGGTATTTTTTTATTCACGAGTTTCCGAAAATATTCTGTACATAATATCTAAATAAATAGAACAAAATATGCGCGTTACCAAAGCAACCAGTAAAACAAAAACAACAACAACAACAACGAAATTTGTTAGAAAGCTATTCCTTTCTTGTTTGAATCAACGATAAAAATGTCACCAACCAAACGAACAAAAATATTTAGGGATGTTGAAAGGAAGGAAGGGCAAATTAACGGCAACGAAATTGATTCGGTTTCGGATACATCGATTAATTTTTTCTCTCTCACTTTGATTGCGTGAAAATACCTGTAGCGAAAGTATTTATATAAAATGTATAAAAAAAAATGTACGAAAAATTTAAAAAAAAATATATATAATGAAGTAACTAAATGTGTAAATATATGAAGAATAAGAAGAAAAAAAACACACACAAATTTGCCTATTTTCGATTTGTATATTGTTATATATAACTGATTTTTTTTTCGTTGACGGAAAATAAGTACAATAATGATCAGCCGATGCGCGTATAAACTAACTATTAATAACTATTTGTAATATTCGAGAGGTGTTAATTGACAATACTAAGAGTAGTGCAGAATATAATAATTATTATTATAATATATATATATAAAAAATTAAAAAGAAAGATATATTGTAAGGATTTTCGATTCCTTTTCTCCTATAATTTCTTTCGTGAATACAATGAACAAATGGTGCCAGAAGGATAAAAATGGATAATACATTAAAAATAAATAAATACACACAAAAAAAAATCTATATATTATGTATATTATATGAAATATATTAAAATATTACTATTATTATTATTAATACTAACTTTTTGTAAGCATTTAAATTTAGGATTACTTAAGGGGACGATACTCTATATAATATATTTATATTTCGTTTGTCCGTGTGCCAATGAAAAAGGTGGGTTCTGTTAACCATTTTTTTATTAATTATTAAATTAATTGATTCTCATTTCTTTGGTGAATTGTAGGAGAACTTTAATATGAACAGATGATAAATTTTAGTCTATATATTAAATTATAAATATATATATTTGAAGAAAGTATAAAAGAAAATGAAAAGGATATTATTATTATTATTATTATATATAAAAGAAAAAAAAGAATCTATGAAAGAAATCATTCCAAAATTATGTACCTAAAAAATATATAATTTCCAAATAATATTATTATGATTAATGTGTCTGTTTCGTTGCGAAACGGGGTTTATTTTCTGTTTTGTTTATTGATCGATTTGCGGATGGAAGGTGACGATGAGGATGTTTGTTGACAATAACGTAGCCATTTGATATATATAATATGAACAAAAAAAAAGGTGAAGAAAAGAAAACCAAACAAAAAAAAATATAATACACACAAACACACACACACACTAAAAACACGACTATTTACTTACAATTTAAGAAGTGCTGTAAATATATTTGTGTAATATAAAATATATATATATATATTTAACAATGAGGAAAAAAAAGTTATTGCATATATATTTAGCATTTATAAAAAAAAAATATGATATAAATATAAATTAAATTACCTAGTGTTTAAGTGAACTATTTCTCAATCTATTTCTTCACAACTTTTTTCTCTTTTTCTTCTCGTCTCTCGTCTCAATTTGTCTCGTCTCTGGACTCTCTCTCATTTCCAAGATGATGTAAAGCGTGTGTGCGCGCGTGTGGAAACACTGTTTTGTTTTTTTTGCGACAGAAAATTAATTATATGATAGAAATTATATTAGCTATAAGATATGAAAAAATATATATTTAATTATTTTTTATTTTTTAAATACGAATCTTTCTGTGTATAAAAAAAAATATAGTTATATTATATATATATGAATGAACAAGAAGAGAAAAAAAAACAAGAAAATATATGTAATTATTATTATTATTGTTGTAAATACTTGTAATCTTAAGATTTATATTGTTTGTTTTTATTTTATTCGTGTATACTCGTAATATTATCTTTTTCTCTTTCTCTCTATTAACTGTCTAAATCTTCTGTAATATGTCTTAATCATGTATATTTCTACGTTTTGTATATTACTACTTATTATTAAGTGCATTTATTTGTTTAGTTCTACCATTACTATATTAGTTTAATTTTTTTTTGTAGAGAAACTTATATATATTTTCGTTTATTTTTGTATTTTATTCTCTTTTTTTTATGTACAGACTTTTCTCTTTATTTTGGAAATTATTTTGTTCTTATTTTATTTTCTACGTTCATTACGATGGCTAGTACAACCAAAGACAACCAAAACAAAAAACAAACAAAAAAAAACAGCCAATTTGTAAAGATTTGAAGAAAAACAAATTACATATGTAACTCGAATTCTTTTCTATTTTACTTATGTTTTTTTTTATATAATTATTATTATTCGTTTCCTTGTTTTATTTTTATATATATCTACTAAGATGATTATTATTATTATTTTTCTTTACATATATATACTTTTTAATATTAACTTTTGTGTTTCTTTTTTTTTCTCGTTTATTCCTTTGTTTTGTTTCTGTATATGCCGAGAGAAGATGATCTATTATATGGAAATTCTATTAATATTATTATTATTACTATTAATTAATTTAAAAAAGCAAAAACAGATTCAAACTATATATATATTATATTATGGATATTTCTGCGGTGAATCCTGAGCGTGCACACACACACACACACGTGCTGAATGAGAAAATTGCAGAGCGAAATATATTGGTGATGATTGATGAAAGAATACAAAAAAAAATACAACAAACGAAAGAATAAATGTATTTTACTCGATACAAAATAAAAATGATTGAATAATTCAAGCGATGCATTATTTTCAAAACTCCTACCCTGTTGTTCTATCCTTCATTTAATCTCTAGTATTTATTTAATAAATTGTTAATGAGAATGAAAGCACGAATTAACTTTGAATGGTCATTTGTTGTATGCAACCAAACATTCACGCGCGTTTGTTTATATAACTATTTAATTACTTATGGACATTAGTTGTATGCAACCAATTATGACCTAGTAAGTATATTAATTAATTAGTAAAAATTGCTATAATTATTATTACTAGTAAATTTTAATACAAATCTTACATAAATTTGCTGAATATTAAGTTTTTTTTATTATATATTACATTGGTTACAGATAATTATTATAGGCAACTAAATATACTTTTTCAGTAAGATATTTAAGTTACATATGCAACCAAGAGTAACTATTAATTTAGTAACTTGACATCGAGATGTCGCCTGTATCATCTCACGTAACAGGAAACTAGTTACTTGTAATGTTATCTATAATGCTTCAATAAGATTATATAAAAGATGTATTTGGTGGAAACGAGATGGTACTTTTTTTAGTGAATTTTAATTTATATTATTCACTGATCCTGAATTGCTCCACAAGTATTAATTAACAAAGTAATACACTTTAACATTTGCTTAAAGTTGCAACAGATGAGACAGTTTTATGTACATTTAGTTGCAGGGTGTTTATAAAGTTGCCTATCATGTTCTTATTAGTTAACACTGCAAACTAGATGGCATTGTATTAAATTTCGTTATCAGGAACTACAAATTATGTAAACTATATTTGAAATATGTTTAAGCAAACAATCGTTTCTCGAATACAAAAATCAAATAAATAAACAATACGAAAAATTTGACATAACAATTAACTTCTGTAATGATGAAGATACTAATGTTATTTGTTATCTTCAAGTGTTATTTACTTATTGAGATAAGTATGCGTTTGTGATTGAGTAGAATAGAATAGAAAACGTGTGAAAGAAGGGAGAAATGAGTGACGGAGAGACTTTGTTGATATTAGCAACAACGCAATTGGCTTTTATTATTTAACAACTTTTCATTCGTGCTCACACAATTCGCAGAATCGCTCTCGCTCTCAAAGCGACAAAGAATAAAGAAAAAACAATATATATTCATTTATTTTTCGTACTTGATATTTACAAAAGAATTAGGAAGATAAAAAACGAACGCTAAGCATACAAAATCGCTTCTTGTAAAATCATTATTAAACCTAAATTATACATATATTTATAAAAAAAAAAAGAAACTCAGTTACGATCAGAATCAATCAGACCACCTCTCGTTATTATTATAAATTAAATAAAGTTCAAATGCATCCAAAATCGCATTCACATCAACAAAATGCGTAATTATAACACTAAAAGGAAGGCCGTGATTAGAGAGAGAAAGGCTAGTAGTAGTAGTTCGTTAAATTGAGCTAAAATAAAACATTACTTCCTGTGGATTTCTTCGGCCGATGCGGTTAGTGGAAAAATGCCCCCAAAAAAAAATAATAGTTAAATATAATAATATAATCGAACTGCGAGAATCCATAGGAACTCGCCCGTACGTAAATCTATGTGTAAAAAGGAAATAAATAGGTATTGGCACGAAGGAGCGAATGGAGCTCGTACGGATTCTCCGACTTAGAAACATATCGAAAGGGAGCAAAAAATTATAAAACTGTGCTGTTAGTGGGATCGGCGTGAAGGTTCGTCAAACGGGCGCCGTGTCTTCGCTACAACTGTTATTACCCAAAGTCTCTGAAAAAGAAAATACCAGTGTTAAACCCCAGGTGATGGATG